GGTGGAGCTGGAGGAAGGGAAAGGGCGGGAGGATGTACATTGAAGAACTGAAATATTTCAAGTGATGGCTGCCCTGGAGGCCCACCTAGGGGTGGGAGCCGTCCTCGGCCCCTGTGGGGTGGGAACGGGGCAGGAGACAGCACAGGCCTAGCGGGGCCTGGGAGTGTAAACATCTACACTGGGTCTTTGGATGGAGCCTAAAAGCAAACTGAATCATGAGAATTGTCTTTGCGCAAAGGAGTTTATTCGAGATGGCCAGCAGGGTAGGCACCCCGAGACACCCCACTCCCTGGGGCGGGGTGCTGGGTCTTTAAGGGAAGGAAGCAGCATGAGGGAAATTGGGGGGGGGTCCGCATTTCCAGGTCCCAGGAGGCACTGGGGGGTGGGAGGGCGGGAAGCTACACGTCCAGGTGTTTGACTTTACCTAATCTTGAGGGAAGAGGGAAGAGCAATGAGCATGTTAATGTTGGTCCTTCAGCGGGAGTGCAGCTCATTAACAGTTAACTGCCCTTATTACTACAGTTGTAGTTTAGAGTTTATATTCTTGCAAAATGGGGACCCGCTACAGAAAGCATGGGGTGAGTTGAACAAGGAGATCTGAGGAGCAGCGCTGCAGGTCTGGAGGGCCACTGGGGGCTGGGGGGGCGCCCAGGAGGGCATCACAATTGCTCAGAGGACAAGATGGGAGGTCAGGTGGCCTGCAAGAATTTAGGCAGATGGCAGTGGAGCCCTGGGGTCCTGGTGAAGGGGCTCCCCACTCCTGTGTGGGCAGCGCCGCTTCCGGCTCTGGGTAGTGTCTGGGGAGCGACGGCTGGGCCCAGGCAGGGTGGAGTGTGCCAGGCGTCTCCCTGTGCTGTCAGTGTCCTGGGCACCTTCCGCTGCAGCTGGTCCTCAGCCTTCGGAGCAGAGAGGGCGTCGGCCCGGGGCCTTGCTGCTATTTCCACCTGGAGTCGGCTTCCCTTCCAGAGAGAGGCTGCAGCTGTGGTGCTGCATACAGCAGGGGCCTCCCCGAGTCCTGGAAATCTGGGGGCAGGGAGTTGTTAGGACAGAAGGGACCTGTCTGGGCAGCAGCTGGCTCCAGCCACTGATAGAGAGGAGTGGGGAGTCACTGGCTTCCCCCACCTTCCCTGACCCCTGCCTGCCCTGCAGCTGTGTCCTGTGCCCCCAGGCAGGTATCCTCCAGCTGGAAGGGCCTCAGGTGCATGCACAGCTACCCCTGCGCACCCCCCCTCCCCAAATGCAGCCCTGGTCCAGCCCCTGCTGCTGGGTTCCGCCCACAGTGACCTGCCAGAGTGCCCTGTGGACAGGCCAAAAGCCGGGAGGCCCTTGGCCCCTTCCTTCACCAGCTGCCCCTGGATCCAGGCGGAACTGCAGTTCTGCCCTCGCTAGTGACACCTCTCGGAGGCAGGCTGCTCTTGAATGTCACCTCCTGCTGAAACACTCCTGAGGCTCCCTAAGGACGGTTGACCTGGCCCCTGACAAGGCTCCACGCTCACCTCCCACGCTCCCTTTCCAGAACACTCTCTTCGGTCACCTGGAAGCTTTTGTGCTCCCAATGTGGAAACACCCCCTCGTAGCCCGCCCCATCCTGGTGCCTGGGCGGCGAGAGAGGTGGCCTTGCTAGTGCCCAGGGGCATAACTGCAGGCAGGGGCTCCCTAGACTGGGCACCCGGGTCCCCCCCTACCACACCGGCTGGAGGAGAAGGACCACAGAACAGGAAGCGGGGAGCACGCTGGGCGCGTGTGGAGGGGACACCTGGAGAGGGCCTCCTCCCACCTCTCCCCTGTACTTCCTGTGACCCGGCCCAGGCCACAGGCAGGGCTGAGGGCTGCCGGCCCCCAGCTGCCTTGCGTGTGCAGACAGTACCTGCGCTGCACGGACCCAGAGATGGAAACTGAGGGGGAAATTCAAAAAGGGACCGAAGTCAGCCTGTCACAGGCCCCGGACACCAGCAGGGAGTGCCCTGTACTGGTCGGAGCCCACCTTTCAGGGCCAGGGTGGAGTCCCTGCATTTCAAAACAAAAACATGGATGTTCATAACATTTATTATTGCTGGAAAAAGGGAGCAGTTGAGCTATCTGGTCACAGGTGATGGCTAGACATACAGTGTATGTGAAAAAGGGGAAGTAATGATTCCTAAAACCTGAAGTCCAAGTTCTACACTGAGCAAAAGAAGCAAGGTACAGGGTCTATGACGCGTGACTCTACTTACAGGAAATCCTAGAAAGACAGGATTGTCGTGATAGAAAATAGCCTGTTGGCAGCTTGGGGCAGAGTCTGGGGGAGCCCACCAGGGGCCATGAGGGGCCTCTTAGCGCCGCGGGAATGTTCATAGCTCAAAAGGGTGGGATTTCGCAGGCCCGTGCAGACATGAAACTTCACAGAGCTGATAACTTGGTGTTTGTGCTCAGGAACAGAATTTCAAATGATTAGAGCTGTTCAAAAGTTAAATGTGTCGTTGGAGGGGAGATTAATGTAGAGATGAAGGGACGATTTGGCATGTTGAGCGGAAGTTGAAGCCGATGATCCTCACTATCTGGCCCCGTCCCAGACACTGACCAGAGCCGGCATCCCGGACACGTAGGCCTCGCTCCGCGTGACTCTTGGGGGTTCTGTCTGTGCGCTTCAACTCTGTGTGGCCCGGAACCTCTTTATCTCATTCACAAAGTAAAGGTGTGGAAACCTTCAAAACCATCGCAGTGACAGAACACAGTGCTCGGGAAGTCCCTTCCCCAGTCTGCCGGCACACAGGAGGGTCTCCGGAGTGTGTCTGGCAAGGACAGGGTGGGGCTCTAGCAACAGCTGAAAGAGCGGCTGTGGCTTCTACCTCGGAGAGCTCCAGGCACAGGGCAGGCGGCTGGGGCCAGCGGCCTCCACCCGGGGTGGGCCAGGGCTAGCCCCAGACCACTCTTCCTGACAGAGTCCCTCCTGGAGCCCCTTGTTGGCGGTAAGCGGAACCCTACCAACTTCCTGGCAGGGCCGTTGAAAGAACTGCGGAGGATAAGAGAGAGGGAAAGGGCAGGCGGCTGTCCAGCAACACACCGCCTCCTTTCATCTCCCGCTCCACGCCCGGCTCGTGACCACGAGGGTGCCAGGATGGGGGCGGGGCGCCGCCTGCTGGCTGCTTCCTGAACTGCGCCTCGGGCCCTGCTCGGCGGCGGAAGGCTGCAGGGCGGCAGCCAGGATTTTATTCCAGAGCAGCTGCGGCCCAGCCGCCGTAGGTTGAGCCGCGCTTCCCACCACCCCTACCACACGCCGCGGGCTTTCATCCACCGTCAGCCTTTGCGCCTTCGGCTGCCCCTGCTTGGAATGCTGTCCCTGGAAAAGCCAGAGGTCACCCCTCTGCAGCTCTCCAGAGCTGCATTTTCTTAAAAAAAAGAAAAGATTTTTGAGTAGAACTGGGGTACAGGCCAGAGGTTCAGGGGATGAGAGGATTCACGAGACAGAGCGGGGAGCAGAACAGGCAGATGGTCTGAAATATGCTGCTGAGGGGAGCAGTGGGCGGGACAGGAGAGGCCTGCGGCGCCAAGCGGCACCATGTGGGTCAGCTCCCTGGCCAGGGATCGAACTGGTGCCACAGTGGCTGCAGAGAGCTTCATAGTGCTGAGACAACCCCTGCGCCACTAGGGAGGGCCTTTCCAAGATTTCCTCATGAGTATGTCTTTACTTTTTTCAGTAAAGAAAATCCTTCAGTAGTTCCTGGTACTTTTCAATTCCCCAGCGAAGCTCCCAGGTCTCTGCCTTTGCTCCCTTCTGCCTCCTCCCCGCGTCATGCTGTGTCCTGCTCCCATGTCTCTCTCACATTGGCTCCTGCCAGGCCAGCCTCAGTCCACACCCTCCCACACAGCTTACTCCGGCTCACTCTTGAATGGCTTCTCCCTAGAAGCCTCCTGATGCCCAGGGTCTGGCCCATCTCCACTGTCCTGCTCTCGCCACCCCTTGAGTAAAGCACTCGGCAGTGGGGAGTGTGCATGTCCCCTGTAGGCTGGGCAGGCACTTCCGTATTCTAGCTTACGCGTGTTCAGTGAAGTCACACAAGATACCCCAAGTTCCTTGGGTCCTAAAATCCTGACTTGCTTGTTAACAGAGTACATATTTTAGGCAAGGAACAAGTTGGGCCCGAAGCCAGGACGTGGTGGGGAGTGGGGGTGGCAGGTCAGTTTGGGGCAGGTGTCTCCCTGCCCCTCTGGGGGCTGAGCTCTGCAGCAGCGCTGTGCTCACCTGGGCAACACTCGTGGTGATGGAAGGGGCCTCACCTAGCCTGCCCTGGGGCACTTCTGCCGGCACTAAGGCTCCTGTGTGGGCATCAGGGACGGGGCCAGGAGCCAGGCTTCCCCGACAGGCCTCACATTGTGCACTCCTAGGCCCCTAGTAACCGGGCCCTGGAGAGGCTGTGAAGTAGCCTGCGAGTTGGGTATTTCCTGTTGAGATTGTGGGTGACAGCAGAGCAAATTCCACTCTGCAGCTCAAACTGAAGCCAGGTGACGTGTGGTGCCACCTCACCTCGACAGGCCCAGATCCCTTAATATACCTTCTGATGAACTGTTCTGCTCAGGAGACTAAAAACAGCCCCCAGCTGCAGTCTGACCAGCCCAGGGCGCGCTGCCAGGCGGCCAAGCACAGCCCACACCCCGCACCCTGGAGTCACTGTGAAGCTGCTCGGGCTCTGATCAGGCTACAGCTTGGCCTGACTCTAGAGACAGGAGTTTGTCTCTGAGCCTGTTTCCTGTACAATGGGACAAAAAACAGCATTTCTCTTTGTGGCATGGCAGGGGGTGCTCAGTGAGTGGCCATGCCTCGGGAGGAGGTCTCCTGGGAAGAGAGGGTGAATTCCTGGCCCTACCGCTCTCGCAGGCTGCCCATGCAGGCCCACACCCCACCGGAGGCGGCCCGGCCGGCCCAGCCGCTCCTCATGGAGGGCAGCAGGCGTCTCTTAACCCACTTTGCTTTGTGAGGCTTCAGTCTGGGGACTGGAATCTAATTAGAATCTCTGTAGTCATCAGGCACATCTTTATTTGTGGCAATAAAACGGGGACAGAGTATCACCTCCCAAGTCTGACAGCTTTTCCTCCCCAAAACTGCTCCCTAGTGGCAGTGGTGATAGCGACGGAGTCAGACAGCACCCAAATGACAAAAGTTACATTTAATTTACAGTGTAATAAAGGTTACAGGTAAAAAGCTACACATAAAGCTTGAAAAGGCCTATTACACAAATGTACAAATCTCTGTACAAATCTCCTGTCGATGTTTCCTACCTTGGTCTCCTGTGCTGTTAGCCAGGTCTACCTGGAGTTCCGGATAACGAGAGCTCTGTCGAGGGGGAGAGCCTCGAAGCCAACACCTAAAGAGGTCCTCTCAGAGACAGCGGTCGCCTTGCAAAGTAAACCTATTTCCCTTGTAAATGAAATTCTCCAACTGGCCATATCCTTAAAAAAAAAAAAAAAAAAAAAAAAAAAAAAAAAACGCCTTCACAGCACACTTGAGAAGAAAAGTAATGTCTGAGAGTAGAGGGTAGTTCTCTGGAATCAAATGAGGAACTTAGGTAAGAAGAGTACTCAGGTATGACAAGAAAAACAGGCAAAATTCAAACAAGTTTAAAACCATCAACCTGTGTCCATGGCACTGGTCACACACAAGGAAAACCGAAATGTCCTCAGTCCAACAGAAAGGGCAGGAGAGACTAGCTACTGGACCTCAAAACCACTGACCCAGGAAAACATTTTAGAGTTTAAAGCCGACCCGAGAGCCTTGGCAACGCTTCTGCCACCTACAGCTTGCAGGGACAGTGAATCCAAGTTAGGCAGGTGATGCCTTCACAGCTCTGGTTTCAACCTTTAAAGCCTGGAGTCTTTCCTCAGGGCATGTGATTTTTAAATAAAAATTATCTTAGGAAGAGGGAGAAAAGAAAAAGGAGGTAATGGAAAGCCCGGAAGAAGCCAGGCGGTCTATTCAAAGGAAAATGTGAAACACTTCTCCACGCTGAAAGTGTTCTGAAGACAGGTCTTCACAGGATAGTTCAACCCACCCCGGTTTTAATAGTACATGGTTAGGACCCCAGGAGACATTCTGAAAGACGATACTGCACACATGGAAAGTTTTCTCCCTAGTTCATTAACTCCCCCATCACCCTTCACCCCAATCCCACCCTACCCCCCTTCTCCATGACCAAAAATATCAAATCAGTAAGGAAGGTGTGGGCTTCTTGCCCGGCCAAGCTTCTTTTGCATATTTCTTCTTTTTGGGTTCGTTGACAGCTTCGGGGTTATAGACGGCAGGGTTCGGGGCAGGGTTCATGTTCACTGCTGATGGGACGACGGGAGTCAAGTCCACGTCCGGGGCGAGGTTGGGGTACGGCATGGGTAAGCCCCCAATCAGTGCTGTCCCGTGGATGCCATGAGGCTGGGAGCCAGCTTCATTGTGCGTGGGGGGCAGGCCCCCGTAGAGTCCTCCACTGAAAGCAAAGTTCTGTATGCGCCTGCCCCCCGTTTCCTCCAGGCCCAGGGAGCCAGGGCCCTCCACCCGCTTCTTCTGTGGATTACAAGGAACAGAGGGGAAGAGGTGAGCACGAGGGAGGTGCTGGCTAGTCTTTCTTATTTCATTCCCAGAAAAATTGGGGAAGGACCCTAAGCCTTCACTTGTTTTGCTTCCAGGACAACCTACTTCTCTGTGCTGAAATCTAGGGTCTGAAGAGACCCCATTGCTGGTGCATGCAAACTGCTCCTCCCTCGCCACCCCAAGAAAAGGGGAACACTGTGTGAGCTTTTCACAAAGTGAAGCTTACTTGTGATTCACCAGACACAGAGTGGGGAGCAGGACAGGCAGACTGACTGAAATACACTGCTGAAGGGAGCAGCGGGCGGGTCAGGAGAGGTCTGCTGCGCCAGGTGGGTCAGCTCCCTGCCCGGGGATCGAACTTGTGCTGAAGTTTCATAGTGCTGCACATTAACCTGCTGCACCACCAGGGAGGGGCTCTGGGTGCCCAACTTGTAAACAAATTTGTAGTAACTAACCTGTTTACCGGTTGCCTGGGGAAGGAACTGACCATAAAAGGGTATTTTTAATTTTCTGGGAGGCGGACGTTTTCTATATCTTGATTACGATAGTACTTACCTGGAAATGTACATTTGTCAAAATGTGTGCCATTTTGTTTTATGTGAATCATAGCAAAATACAACTGGTATGAAAGTATCAATCCCTTCTGGTTTTAGACTCTAATGATAAGAGTATTTCAAAAGACGGAGGAAAAGAGCTGAAGAGGGACGTAGGCGTGACTGGTACGGAGCTGCACAGAAACATTCCGCCTTGTCCTTTTTACAGTCCTCACCCTTCTAGTGCCAGGACTCTGACACACCACAGTATATTCTAAAGAGGCTTTTTAGATAAAAATCTCTACAGCCTCTGTCTAGCATCTTCCAGTCACTGCTGGAGTGGCTCTGGCAGGCTCTCACCACTCAGGGGCTGCCGACCCTTTCAGGGGTCTTAGCTGTTGCATGACTCATCTATGTTAGACAATCAGAATGTCTGTGTCATTTCATCCCCTAGTTCCGCCTCAAACTTGATCTTCAATCCACATCTGGGCTGGCTTTCCTCTCTGTGCCACTTCCATTCATAACAAAAAGGCACAGCAAACGTCAGACGCTGCAGAAATGCAACAATGGCTTTTCCTCGCCTCCACTTCCTCGAGTTAGAAGCGAAAGGCTGAAGGTCAGAGGGCCTCACTGCACCCTACTGGGAGGTCATTTACACTCACATCACACCATAATTTACACGTCTCAAAGTGGCTGTCCCCTGCAGCCTTGTTAAGAGGCTCAAGGGAAGCCTAGACACAGACAGGTGAAAGCTCTTCAAGAGACTCCAAGATGGAAGAGCGAAGAATGTGTTTTAGGATTAAGCACACATTTAAGACTCAACTACACAGAAAAGAGTGGGCTGTAATGCAGCTACATGGCGCTGCAGACACTTCCTACCTTGACGGGGACCACTGCTGTCTGCACCATGTTCCGGAAGCGACCAACTGAGGGATCCACATCCTCTGTAAAGAGAAGAGGAAAGGGTCAGGCCAGCGCTCTGCTGGGGGCAGCGAGGGCCCAGGACTCACTGAACAAAGCAATCACGGCGACACTGAAATCCAGCCAGTCAGCATTGCAGGTGTGCTGGGCACCATGTCCAGTCCTCACGGTCAGCGTGTGCAGTGAGTGACTGCCCTGCGCTCTGCTGGAGCGTACAGGAGGCAGGATGTGGGGCCAGTAGCCAGAAAGAGGCCAGCTGTGTGCCATACACTTCCTTTTGAGAGGAGAAAAAATAAGAGCAGACACGATCAATCCCACACCAGTGATAAAACAAAGATGTGTCGAAAGGTCACATACCATGTACCTTGCTCATGCCTACTTATTAGCAAGTCACAGAATTAGAACTCAGTCCTGGAGCTTCCAACTCTGGCCTTTCCACCTGCACAGCTAAATAATGCGAAGACTTTCCATTGAACAATCCGAAGACCCCCGGTCCCTTTGCACAGCTACACACCTCGTGTAGCCTACAGAACTTGTAGCTTCACTGGCAATGCAGGCAGAGAACATTAAGAGCAAGAAGGGGTGAGCCTCTCAGGCCTCATCCACTGGACGTTAGGCGTGGAAATAAAGAGCAAGACCCGGCACCACCTTTAGGGAGCTCATAGCTCTAAAGCCATAAAGCTAGGCGACAACACAGTGGAAGTGATTCAGGAGGTGGAAAACAGCGCTGCGAAGTAGACGTGACGGACCTGTATGACCCAGGATGCTGTAGGCTGAGGGCGGGACTGGGGCAGGTCAGACTTACTACTGGAAGAGTAACGCCAAGCCCCTTTAGTCTTACAGTTGTAGAAAAGAAATGATTTACCTAATAGATGCGGTACATCTTATTTTAGATTTGTGGAAGGCACTGCCAATTTGTTTCAAAGCCGTAATTTGTTTTAAGACTGGCTGTTTACAAGTTAGGATGCCTTTAAAGAATATACCCTAGAAAAACATTCGCAACCAATCTCAGCTCAATAAACGAACAAATGACTTCTACAGCAAAGAAGAGGATGAGAAGATAACGAGGTTCATTAGGAGAGAGACCAAGTCTCTAAAAAAAGTAACCTCTTTTCTCTCAGCCCCAGAGGAGCCCTATTCTAATCATTTCTTCAGGAAGGCAAGCGAAATGAAGTGCAAGAGTGACCAGGGCCCAAGCAAAACGGCTGGCATGCGCCTGGCATGGGTGAAGGCCTATGCTGGTGGATGTGCTCAGGCTACTCTCCCTGCTCACTCTCTAGCACGTCCACTCCGAGGACATGCTCATTCCAGTTATCTGTTGACAAAGCCCTTACTAACTATCTCTAGGACAGGAAAGATTTAATGGGCTCACGTTCATCAAGAGCTTACTGAGCACTGGACACTGACCTTACATGCACATAAGTATTATCTAACCTCCCCAGCCATCCTGTGAGGTCAATGGTCTGGTGAGTCGCTTGGCTGGTCATACAGCTCCTAAGAGGAGAGGTGGATTTCAAACCCAGACTCTCTGATTTCAGGACTGGTGTTCTTTTTTGGTGTTCTTTTTTTAATTTAATTTTTTATTTTGCATAGAACTGTGGCCTAGGCCAGAGGTGCAGCGGTGAGAGGATTCATGAGAGACAGAGTGAGGAGCAGAACCAGCAGGTCTATTGAAATACATTGCTGAGGGAGCAGCAGGCAGACAAGAGAGGTCTGCTGTGCCGTGTGGGTCAGCTCCCTGGCCGGGGATCGAACTCAGCCTGCAATGACTGGTAGTAGCTTGATGGTGATGAGACCTTAACCCCTGTGCCACCAGGGAGTCCCCAGAACTGTTTTTTTTTTTTTTTTTTTTTAATTTAAGATTGAGACAGAGTGGGGAGCAGAACAGGAAGATGGAAGAAATACACTGCTGAGGGGAGCAGTGGGTAGGTCAGGACAGGTCTGCCACGCCATTTGGAGTGCCTCCGGAGCAGGGATCAAACTCCACTGAAGTGGCAGTGGCTTGCTTGTAGTGCTGTGATTTAACCTGCTGCGCCACCAGGGCGGGCCAGAACTGGTGTTCTTAACCACTATGCAAAAGTCCCTACATACACTGCCTTAATAAAACCCAGGGCGGTAGTGTGTAAGGAGAAAAACAGAACAGGTCATATCATTACGTCCTAAAAGAGACTTAAAATACATGGTTCCCAATTGCTGCTATTCATCAGGACAAACAACAGCTTGTTTAAATCTATAAATTCTCGGACTAACCCCTAAAAATTCTATTCAATCAGTTCTGGAGTCCAGAAATCAGCATCCCCTCCTGGGGACGCCACGTAGGCACTCAGCGTCTGAGGAGTACCAGTTCACTCCACAGGAAGTGAACTTGCAGCCACTGGACAAGCACTCCACTCTCCCGGGAATCCTTCGAATTCTTCTTCTGAACATAAGCCAGGAATTCACTGTTGCTTTCTAAGCGGACTCAAGTATTTGCGACTCGCTGGCTCTGGCCTGGTCCTGTCCTTCCTGCCTAACCCATGCAAACACTGAGCAGTTGCCGGCCAGGTGCTCTCCGGGTTCCCCAACGAGACCAGCTCTCGGGGACCGTGTCCACAGCTGTGAGCCTCTCATCTTCAGGACTACGTGACACACTCGTGGTGCCATGCTTGCATGTGGTAGCGCACTTGCGTGGATTCTGCTCAAAACACAGTTTAATGCATCTTAAACTGTCCCTAGCTAGTTTCCAGAGCCCCTGATGATTCAGGCTGCATTTTTTTTTTTTTAAGATTTATTTATTTATTCATACAGAACTGGGGTACAGGCCAGAGATGCGGAGGGTGAGAGGATTCACCACACACAGAGCGGGGAGCAGAACAGGCAGATCGACAAGTACACTGCTGAGGGGAGCAGCGGGCAGGTCAGGAGAGGTCTGCCGCACCATGTGGTCACCTCCGGGGCAGGCGGGAATCGAACTCATGAGGAAGCGGCTTTAGATTCTCAGTGCAGTGCTTTAACCCGCTGCGCCACCAGGGAGGGCCACAGGCTGCATTTTTAATTAACTAAAATCGTTAGATCTTTTTTTTTTCATGAGTGGTTGCTGGAATATATCTCCATTTAAATAACTGATATTTTGAATCTAACTGCAAGATGGGGAAGTCACTCCACTTCCACTAAGGAATATAAAAAAGCAACCTGTTAGTCTGACATCTTTGTTTCTAAACAAGGTTTTAAAATCTCAATTCTGTCTTCATTTGTATAAACTCTCTATCCTAATTCTACATTATTCACTTACCTGAAAACCTGAGCAGTAACATGAGCCCAATTAATGAATACTGAATGGTGGAGCAAACTGGTAAACTTAGCGGGCCTCCCATAAACTGATGCTCACATCCTCTGACATCTTCATATATAAACTGCAAGTTATTTCCTTTCAGAAAGGAAAACTTACTGTGCTAATTAAAAGTAGCATTGGGAGGTCTCCAATGGCAAGACCATAGTGAGGGTCTTCCCTAGTAGCGCAACAGGTTTAAGCGCAGCACTATGAAGCTACCTACAGCCACTGCAGCACAGTTCAATCCCTGGCCAGGAGCTGACCCATACGGCACAGCAGACCTCTCCAGATCCGCCCGCTGCTCCTCTTAGCAGTGTGCTTTAGTCAATCTGCCTGCTCTGCTCCTGACTCTTGTCTCTAGTGAATCCTCTCACTCCTCCACCCCCACCTCTGGCCTGTACCCCCAGTTCTTTTATGCATGGATAAATAAATCTTAAAAAAAAAAAAAAAACATACTCAGAACACCAACCTTAAAGACAACTGTCTACTTTCAGGTACAGACAGCCAACACCTATACTTTATTTAAACCTTCATTATGTCACACACCAGACTAGCTGGGAGGAATTATAGCCATGTGCTACAGATTGAATTATATGAATCTTTCCTTCACCTTTTTCTTTCATCTTCAACTACATAATGCTTGAGTGGCCAGGCTTCCCTACCAGTGAACTATACAAATTATCTCCTCTTAATATGGCACCCGTTGCCTTAAACCTTACTGAGAAACATTACAACTGACCCAAAGTTGGTATACCCTAGTCTTTGAGACCACAGCTTTTCCAAAGAAATAAGGAAAATACTTCACCTGGGTTGATGATCTCATCATCCTCACTGAAAGTCACCCGTGAGTTCTTCCTCTTCCTCTTTGGTCTCTGAATGTCCAGATTCCCCTCCTCTATGGTAAGGGTGGAAATCCGCTTGTTGTGGGCAGTGTTGAACTCTGTCAGGTTCTAGTCCAGGGAACACACAGGAAAGACAGAAGTCAGTATCAAGGGAATTTGGGAAATATAACACTAAACAAAGGGCAGGAAGGCATGAGAAGCCAACTCTGACCCAAGGCACACAGATTTTCTTCTGCATTTGGGAGTTACTACTGCCCCTAGACTGCTAATGCAAACAGTCTCATCTGACAGAATGTGAATGTCCACATTAACTAGTGGAGCAGTGATATTCAAAAGGGCTTGAGCCAAGAACAGGTCGCCTGTGCAAATATCCCTGAGTGAAGGGTTTTTTTTTTTTAATTGAAGAAAGGTTTACATGTCTTCATGCTGAGAATTAATGAAATGTGACTGGAAGAACTCCAAAAATTGTCTCTAATAAAGCAAAGATGAGAAAGAGCAACCAAGAGCAAACTCGTAAGGACATTACCAGTGCACTTAATATTCAGCATTAACATTTTGTTACTCTCAACCCTGTACCTGGCCCCATTTTTATTCAGAACCATCCACCCATCTCAATGATTAACTTGGCCTCAGCAATGCTACCTGCCTCTCCCCAGTCCTTTGGACTTATTCCAACCTGCATTGCAGTTTGAGGTATTTCAAAGGTATCAGAATGAGAACCCAGGAAGGACCTAAGCAATGCTAAACTAAACAGAAGCATAAATGCATTCTGGAGGAGAAATGGGGAGGGATGCCAGGAAGGTGTCTGGCTGCGAGGCTCCTTCAGAACAGGTATCTCCAAACTGTAAGATTCTATCGTTGTTCTTTTTCAGGGATGGGCACTACCTAGGGGTACAGGAATAATAAATGCATGTGGGTGGTTATAGACATAGTTGTTTCAGCTATCTGAACAGACCAAGCACACTGGAGCAGTAACAGACACGTGGAGGACCACTGTCATGTCACAGACTAGCCTCTAGAAAACACTTTAAAATGAAATCTTGGGCACAGGAGTTTATTCTGTCACCATTGAGTTTTATCCCCAGCCAGGAAAACTAAGGCACACATGGCTTGCCTGCTGCTCCTCACTCCAGCATATTTCAGTCCATCTGCCTGTTCTGCTCCCCACTCTGTCTCTGGTGAATCTCCTCATCAATAACCTCCACCTGCACCCCATTCTTCCACATAAAAATTAATAAAAACAAACAAACAAAATGAAATCTAAAATCCATAGCCTCAGGACAGACAGGCCCTTAAGAACAAAAGTACTGTAGCTCTTTCCAGATTCCTGGGATATGAACACATTAAAAAAGAGCTATGTTGGCCCTCCCTGGTGGCGCAGCGGGTTAAAGCACAGCACTGAGAATCTGAAGCCACTTCCGCATGAGTTCGATTCCCGCCTGCCGCCTGC